ATATATATATATATATATATATATATATATATGGGCGTGTAGATAAAAAAAAGCTCTACACGCCTATGATTTTTAATAAATTTTTGTGACATCTGCGAGGATTCGGATCCTCGGCAGGCCTAAGGGGGCCCCTGTTGCATCTGTGCCCGCCCTAAGTGAAGGCGGGCCTAACAAATCACGAGAGGCCCTCGGCTGTCAATTTCGTATTTGGGGTCGAGGCAGTTTTGTCGCGCCAGTTGGTTGAGAAAAACACAGGCCGAGCAGCGAGACCTTCCAGGTCTTTCCAAAATGATGCAGGCCCTGGACGAGAATGGCAGCCTCATAAAGAGACAGTTGGGAGGCCCAACCAAACGAGGCCCAGTAGCTGCAGGAGAGGCGCAGCATCCTAGGGCCTACCGGATGCTTCTGGGCCTAGGCTAGTCCAGCCAGGCTGCCGAATGAAGCAGGCTCTTTCCATATAGGAAAGAGCTCACTGCCTGGCCAAGACATTCGGGCACTCGCATGCTGGCGGCAGTGCTGCTGGAGCTGAAGCTCGTGGGCTGTTGCTAGCGCCGAGAGGCGAGGTGCAAGCACATGCAGTCGTGCAAGGAGGAGGGCGCTGTTGAGGGCAGCGCCATAGCCCAGCCTCCATACCTGACAGGGCTTGGATGTACAATGAGGCGCAGGGGTGGTCTTCGGGTATACAAAAGGAAGACGTGGGTGTAAGACGAGGGAGAGAGAGAGAGAAGGATGATGATGATGATGATGTGAGGGCACATACCTGGTATTGGAGATGATCTGCATGGGCGACATCTTCAAGTACTTTGGAGGCTGCTGACGTCAACAGTTGCATTGTCAATTAGTAGGCTAGTAGTAGTTGTGTAAGGAGTAGGCTGGGCGCCGAGCGCCAAGTAGGGAGATAGGGACCGGATACATATGCTGGTGGTGGCGAGATCAAGCTCTCGTTGACGTTGGTTTCCAGTGCTATGATTCTCCATTGGTGTCATATTGGTGCAATGCTGCTTTCTGAATACTGTGATACGAACT